GCCCCATTAAAGATAGTATATCTTGCCCACCTTGAGGCCGTGCATTTGCAGCATCAAGATCATGTAGGGTGACATCCTGTGCATAAGGAAATACAGAAGAAAACAGAAAATGAATATCAATATAGATGCCCATTTATTGTAATAGAAAGGAATATGGCATTATGATAATAACAGGAGAACATATGGTTAAGTTTGGGCAAGACTAACAAAATTTCTATGGAACAACCAAATAACAAATAGAAAAGAAAAAGACATATTAACACGTAAAAATCCAAGAAAACAAATGAGTGAAATTCACCATGTGGGACCACAAATTTTCAAGAATACAAATTCACATGATTCTTACTACAGAAGACAGGTCAGTATTTAACTCTTTGGGTGGTCAGATTCCTCACACAATGGTAGTATTTCATCATAGAAACAGAACCTCAGCACTTACTTAGAACCATGGATCAACAGAAAGTGTAAATGATGTAATAATAACTTTTTATTTTCTCCCTTCTCTGTAATAAGTATTAACTAAGACGGAAAATTTGAAGTTCATATACATGGTAATGGTAGTCAAACCCATACAGCAAGGAAGCGTCAAAATCCATGAGATAGTATTGTAGCATAGCATCTCACAAATGGTGAAGAAACACATTAAAAGAAATGCAGTCCACAGAAAACAAACCTGAACTATTTCTTTCTTTTTGTGGACCTCTCCTTTAGGAAGTGGAACATACTCTTCTGCTTCAAGGTCAAATTCTGTAGCAAAAGCATCACATCTACCTACTCGTTTTACTGCTCCACTATTGGCTTCAATATATATAACATCACCAACAGCTACCTGCATGTTGTCTCAGGAAAAACGCAATTGATCAAACTACAAAGTACAATTAAAACCCCTTTTCACTGTAAGCATGACGCAAGGTTCAGAGCAGAAAACTAATAAAAGAATATTACCTTTTCCTTAATCAATGCATCATAAATAGTGGGATCCAATTTCAGTTGCTTGGTTCCCTTGACAGTTTTCAGTCCAATGATTACATGGCTAATGCTCTTACCATAGCCACCAGTGACACTTTCGGTTTCTTCAGGTGAGAGTTCAGTCACCTAAAACAACACTATCAAAGATCAGCATACAGAGCAAATCCAAAAATGAAAACAACTAAACAACAGAAAGTTAAAAACTCCACTAGACTAAGTCACTAAAGTACTAAAACCAAAGAATTATCATTAGTAACTTGCCTCTCCTTCATAGACCTCTTTGTTTTCCTTTATACGCAGACCAATAGCACGTCGGAAATTTTCCATTAAAACCTCAGTTTTCTTTACTTCAGATGAGTATACTTCTGACCCAACCATGGGGCAGAACGGAACCTGAATACAAAGAAAACCATTGGCCATCAAAGATCTGCTACTAAGAACCACCACTTATCCTTACAAACGCACAAGAAAATGTGAGAACTACCTTGCTCCCAAGCTCTTGGGATATTCCGAGGGCGAGTGCTGTCTTTCCAGTACCTGGAGGTCCTGCCATTAGAAGAGCCCGTCCGGCCATCTTCTTCTGCCGTATCATATCAACAACGAGACCAGCCGCTTCTCTTGCATCTGCTTGACCCACAAAACCAGCAGCCCACGGCATGGCTCTTCCATTGGACTGAGAAATAACAGCACATAAAAAACACACATATATCAGCCACTTGTATGGAAACCAAACTAATAACAAAAAACCAGCTTTTGGCCTCTAACTCTTATAATAATTAAAAATAATTCCATTTGCAAGCATTTTCTGCCTGCTTAAAGGACATTATAAATAAGACTCCAAACTAAGAGCTAAAGGGGCACCAAGAGGTTTGAAATTTCAAATGAAGGAAAGATGAAATTGAAAAAAAAAAAAGAAAAAAAAAAAAAAAAAAAAAAAAAAAAAAAAAAAAAAAAAAAACCCACTAAGCCCAGTTCTTACATTTGAACTCCAAAGAAAAAGAAATTCCTAAGTTCCAATTATTATGGGGTTTGAGACCGAAAGTCCTAATTACAAGTGCAAACGCCAAACACATTCTAAAACCCTAAACCCTAAATCAACGAAAAGAAAAGAAATACGACATTATTCACTATGCGAATGAGAAAATCAAATTAAAGAAAAAAAGGGTTTCAAAGAGAAAACCTCAAGACCAAGGCCTTTGATGTGGGTGTGAGTAGCTATACGCTGCTTCTTGGTGGTGGATTGAACTTCCTCTATCTTCATTTTCTCCATTTTTTCTCTCTCTATCTTTCTCTCAAAGTCTCAACTTTCGCCTTCAACGACCCAAAAGCTTACTTAACTAGGCTTTTTCAACAGTTAATTAGGTTCAATACCACTTTTCTAATTGTATCCATAGCACTTTTTTTTTTTTTTTGGGAACCCTTCGATCCGTACCACTTCTTGCAACAATTCTTATACTTGAATCTTGAAAAACCACCAAAAACAAAAAGAAACGCTTGAGGGAGGCGAATATCCGGCCCGAATAGAGGGAGGGAGAGAGAATAGGAGCGGCGGAAGAGAGTAGAAAGAAAGTGGGGCTTAAGTTAGGGGTTAAGGTTACGACCCGTTTCGTTTCCAACACAAGTTGGCGAGAATGTGGCACTTTTTTTTTTCTTTTTTTTTTTCCTCTTGAAAAAATTCAAATTTGTACGGATTTTAAAATGGTTTGTTTTTAATATAAAAGTAAAAATGAGAGGTTTAAAAGATAAAAAAATATAAAATTATATTTAATTATATTTATAAAATTTTTGTTTGGAATACGTGTAATTAATCATTTTAAATTAATATATTAAATAATTAATAATCACTTAACAATTAAAAATTAAAATATTAATAATATAATCATGAATATTATTATTAATGAGTATATTAATAATTAAATTATATATATAATAAATTAGTATACTAAATAATTCAAATATAATAATTAATAGTTGATTAAAAATAATTATTATGTAGGTAACGTACTTATATTTAAAAGTTATAAGTAATGAATTAGTGTATTAATAAAAAATAATTAGTATATAAATAATTTATTAATATTCTATTTACTAATTAAATAATTAACTTTTAGTCACATAATTAAATAATTAATTAATTAATTACAAATTTTTATTTAACACTCTATTATATGATATATTAAATCATCCATGTTTAGTAGTAATTATTTAAATAATTATTTATTATTTATTATCAATTATTAATTAATATTGATTGGTATATTACATAATTAATAATTACAATTTAATATTAATTATTAATTGAGTAATTACTGTTTGTTTTTTATTTATCAACTATTTACTAATTAATAGATTATAATTGATATAATATATGATTGATTTATTAATAATTAGTTATTTATTTAATAACCTATTATTAATTATTCTATTATTAATATATTATCTAATCAATTTTTAGCAATTATCTTTAAACTAAATAATTAACTACTATTTATTATTTTTTATTTTTTTAATAAATTGTAAATTTAATAATAATAAACTAATATTTAATGAATAATTAAGTAATTACTTTTTATTTATTAGTTATTGATCGTATCCATTTATTAATTATTAATTAATATGTTATATAATTAGTAATTAATTATAATTATTTAAAATAACATTGTTAATAAGTACTAGAAAATAAAAACTGAAAAGTGAAAACAATTTTAAATCATTTTTTACTTTCTTCACAAAAATCATTCTCATTATTTTTTGTTTTCTTTTTCGTTTTCAAAATGTTTGCTAAACATACGTGATTTACCAACTATTTTCGTTTTCATGCCTTAAAGACGTGTGGAAACGTTTTTAAAAACAACCAAAAAAATTCCAAACGCAGCCATAATATTTTTCTCTCTCCCTTTCATTGTTTTATTTATTTAAAAAGGTTTTTAGCATAATTGCTTCCTGAACTTGTCGTGATTTAGCAAATTACCCCCAAACTTTTAATTTTGACAATCAACTCCTGAACTTGTAAATTTGCTGTAATATGCCCCATTGTACTAAATTTATTCAAATTTTTTATTAGATTTAAGGGATTAAAAATTAAGAAATTGAAAGATTTGAGTTATATTTGAATTGAGATGTTGAAAATTTTCGTTCAATGTGCTTTTCTAACACTAATTTAACACGACCATCATCAAAACGGGGCGTATTGCAACACGTTTAAATTATTTTACTAAACACAGTAACACGTTTGAATTAATTTTACTATTCTTGTTTCGTGTTATATTTGGATTAATGATCTGATTGTAGTGTTTGCATTGTTTTCATGATTTTTGAATGGCGAGGTATTACATTCATGCTCATAGACGACAATCTTATTTCAGATTAGTTCTTATGTTCTTACATTCTTTATAAGTATCTTCAGTGCTTTAAAATTATTTTGGATCGTCCTTTTCGCAGGTGATGTATGGATGTTAAAAGTTGACAACTGCGGTTTTTATTTTCTCAATTTCAGATTAGTTATTTTTCTCCATATTTTGTGTTCTGCATTTTCTTTACATTCTTTTCATGGATTGCATTGACAATGCACTTAAACTATTTTTATTGTTTTTACTTCACGATATATTTAGAATTAGAGTCTGATTGTTTTATTGCTTTGTTTTACTCATTTTTAAATGGCAAGGTATTATATTTAGGATCCTGAAACACAGTCTTATTTTAGATTATATCGTTTGTTGCGTTTCACAATTAGTGTCTTAGTGTTGTTATATTCTAAGGTGTTTGGATTTGTTTTCATGTGCTTATGTTATTGAAAAGTATATTCAGCACCTTACAATTGTTCTTAATCGTCTTTTTTGCATATTATGTATAGATGTTGAAAGGGGACAGTTATGATTTTGATTTTCTTGATTTCAGATTTGTTATTTTCTCTCCGTCTTTTATTTTTAGCGGTTTCTTTACATTCTTTCTCTTGGATTACATCGACAACACGCTTAAATTATTTTTATTGTTCCTATTGCAGGTTATGTTTGGATTCATTATCTGATTGAAGTGTAATTATTATTATTATTTTTTAAATAGCGAGGTATTACAATTAGGATCACACAAAACAATTTTTTTTCAATTTTTTTTATTTTCTTATATTCTCTTAAAGCATCTGTAGGACCTTGGAATTATTATAGATCGTGCTTTTCGCATGTGATGTTTGGATGTTGAAAGTGGACAACTATAGTTTTAATTTTCTTGATTTTGGATTTGTTGTTTTGTCTCAATCTTTTATTTTTAGCAGATAGTAAGCTCATTCCCTAGGATTTCATTGACAACGCATTTAAATTAGTTTTTGTGTTCTTTTTGCAATTTATATTTGAATTTAGCATATGATCATAGTGTTGCTTTGTCTTTCTAATTTTTGAATGGTGAGAACAATATCTTATTTTAAATTTGTTCTTATTTTCTTACTAACTTCAAAAGTATCCTCAACGCTTGAAGTTATTCTGCATTGTCCTTTCCACAGGTCATGTATGGATGCTGAAAGCAGACAATTATGGTTTTGATTTTCTTGATTTCAGATTTGTTATTTCCTCTCCATCTTTTATTTTCAACGGCATCTTTACCTCCTATCTCTTAGATTTCATCAATAACACATATGAATTATTTTTATTGTTCTTGTTGCAAGTTAATTCTTTATATTTTTTATTAAATTTCGTCATATTTTCTTTGTTTGATTCTTAGAATTTTAGAGTTTTTATTAATATTTTGTGTTTTGTAGGTGTTTAGATTCAAGAGAATGGAGGAAAATCATTGGCAAGGATTTAAACGCATTTTGGAGATTTTTTGGAATTAACATGGACGGTGAAAGAAATAAAATACGAGGAAAGCAATTTTCAAGAATTAAAAGAAAGAAAAGAAAAAGTAAACAAACAAAAACAAAAAACAAAAAACTTATCAACAGGCTAGCTGGTCGGGCCAGTTGTGCCCACTCACACAGGGCAACAAGTGCGGCCACGCGACCGATAGGGTGTCAATAGAAATCGTTTATGATCTTCCAATTTAATTATTTATGATTATTTTTTTGATTTTCTAATCATTATAGTGAGTTGTGACCAATAATTGCGGGAGATTTTTATTCAATTGCATAAAGAACATAATCTATATTGAATATTCTGAGGTTGTGTGTTTATTGGTTAGAGCAATCTATCTTTTTTATTTTAATGCTTTTGAATTTAGAGAGCTTGTTCTAGATTATTTGAGGAAAAATAATTAAATAAAGAGTTTGTTTATTTAACGAAGAATTAAGAAAGATTTGGATAACAGAATTTATTGTTATCTATGGTTGGTTGTTTCTATAAAAAATTAAAAACTTTATCATTCTTCGTAATTTCATTATCTAGAGGTGGAGTTGATCTTTTAATCGGGTTTTATCATTGATTGTTTCTCTTATTTATTTTTTAATAATTGTTCTCTTTAATTCTTCGTTTAATTTTATTTAATTTAGTTTAATCAATCCAACTCCGCTTTTATTTATTTCCTCTTTCACAAAATTAACAACTTCTTAATTAAAACAAATCCTTTCCAGGAATAACCCTTACTAGTCACTAAACTCAATAATGACCATCCAAGCAAGGATTTAAATTTGATTGACCGTAGAAACACATCATATTCACACTTATAAAACCTGTATATATACTCATCGTCATCAATGGAAAAGCATGCCATTATTTCCAGACGTTTGACGTCGAATATATTGATCTTTCTTTCTTTCTTGCTTTCTTTCTTCTTCTTCTTCTTTTTTTTTTTAGTTTTTTCGGTAGTACTTCATGAGTTCATAACTCGAGTCTCATTCATTTTACTGATTTGAGTTTAAAATTCACATTTTGTTATTGTTATTAATTAGAAAAGAAAATATCTTGAGAGAGACGTGTTTGACTAGCAAAGGATTGAATCAACTTTATTAATTGCAGAAACATTACAATTTATAATCTGATGAACAACAACTAACTAAAGTCATGACCCTTAACGTGTGCCATGGTTACAAACGTGCATAACAGAAAAATTAGCAACTTCCTAAAAACTAGGTAGACTACTTTGAATCATTCAAATGTAAAACAAACTTTGACAACGTGGCTGAACCACTTTTGCAACGTGGCAGCACTCTAAAACACATGTCTAATACTCTTCCTTGTTTAGATGATGCACATTCCGAGTGTCATTCTTAAGAACTTGAACTTGCTAGCTGGTAAGAGTTTAGTAAAAACATCAGCTATTTGCTCTTTTGTTTTGCAATAAACAAGAGTTACAGCACCATCCTTCTACACTTCCCTCAAGAAAAACAGCTTGATGTTGAAATGTTTAGTTTTCCCGTTAAAAACTGGATTATGAGAAATAGTTATTGCAGCTTGATTATCAACAAAGATCTTAGTGTCTTCTTTCTGCTCAAGATGAAGATCACTCAATATCTTCCTCAGCCACAAAGCTTGATTTACAGCAGCAGTTGCAGCAACAAACTCTGCTTCAGCAGTAGATTGAGCTACTGTTTCTTATTTTTTCGAA